AAGGGTCGACGGGAAACTATGCAGTACGCCCTGTCACACCCCTCTACTTCCGGCACTGTATTTCGAAAAAAACCGGCGAAATTCGGAAAAAAGACATTGATTCTATTAGAGAAGGGTCTATTCTACGGAGATAAGTGAAAAAATTCTAATCAGCACTCCCTATTTCGAACAGATAAGGGCCGACGGGAAAAGTAACAAAATTCTAATGAGCACTCCCTATTTCGAAGAGATAAGGGTCGACGGGAAACTATGCAGTACGCCCTGTCACACCCCTCTACTTCCGGCACTGTATTTCGAAAAAAACCGGCGAAATTCGGAAAAAAGACATTGATTCTATTAGAGAAGGGTCTATTCTACGGAGATAAGTGAAAAAATTCTAATCAGCACTCCCTATTTCGAACAGATAAGGGCCGACGGGAAAAGTAACAAAATTCTAATGAGCACTCCCTATTTCGAAGAGATAAGGGTCGACGGGAAACTATGCAGTACGCCCTGTCACACCCCTCTACTTCCGGCACTGTATTTCGAAAAAAAACCGCGAAATTCGGAAAAAAAACATTGATTCTATTAGAGAAGGGTCTACTCTACGCAGATAAGTGAAAAAATTTTAATCAGCTCTCCCTATTTCAAAGAGATAAGGGCTGACGTGAAGCTACGCAGTACCGCCTGTCAGACCCACCCACTTCCGGCACTGTATTTCGAAGAAAACCGGCGAAATTCGGAACAAAGACATTGATTCTATTAGAGAAGGGTCTATTCTATGGAAGTAGGTAAAAAAATTCTATTGAGCACTCCCTATTTCGAAGAGATAAATGTCGACGTGAAACTACGCCGTACGGCCTGACACACCCTTCTACCTCCGGCACTGTATTTCGAAAAAAGACCGCGATATTCGGAAAAAAAACATTGATTCTATTAGAGAAGGGTCTACTCTACGCAGATAAGTAAAAAAATTCAAATCAGCGCACCCTATTTCGAAGAGATAAGGGCCGACCGGAAACTACGCAGTACGGCCTGTCACACCCACCCACTTCCGGCACTGTATTTCGGGAAAAAACGACGAAATTCGAAAAAAAAACATCGATTCTATTAGAGAAGGGTCTATTCTATGGAAGTAAGTAAAAAAATTCTACTGAGCACTCCCTATTTCGAAGAGATAAGGGCCGACCCGAAACTACGCAGTACGGCCTGTCACAGCCTCCCACTTCCGGCACTGTACTTCGGGAAAAAACGACGAAATTCGGAAAAAAAACATTGATTCCATTAGAGAAGGATCTATTCTACGGAAGTAAGTGAAAAAATTTTAATCAGCACTCCCTATTTCGAAGAGATAAGGGCCGACGTGAAACTACGCAGTACCACCTGTCAGACCCTCCCACTTCCGGCACTGTATTTCGAAGAAAAAACGGCGAAATTCGGAAAAAAACATTGATTCTATTAGAGATGGGTCTATTCTACAGAGATAAGTGAAAAAATTCTAATCAGCACTCCCTATTTCGAAGAGATAAGGGCCGACGGGAAACTACGCAGTACAGTCTGTCACACTCTCCCACTTCCGGCACTGTACTTCGGGAAAAAACGACGAAATTCGGAAAGAAAACATTGATTCTATTAGAGAAGGGTCTATTCTATGGAGATAAGTGAAAAAATTCTAATCAGCACTCCCTATTTCGAACAGATAAGGGCCGACGGGAAACTACGCAGTACCACCTGTCAGACCCTCCCACTTCCGGCACTGTATTTCGAAAAAAAAAACGGCGGTATTCGGAAAAAAAACATTGATTCTATTGGAGAAGGGTCTATTCTACGGAGATAAGTGAAAAAATTCTAATCAGCACTCCCTATTCCAAAGAGCTAAAACCTGATATTGAAACTTTGCACTAGCTTGTCACACACCCTTCCACTTTCCACACTGTTTGAAAACGATCGACGAAAGTCAGTTAAAAATGGGCAACTAATTGTGGAACAGTCTATTCTATCGAAATGCAAGAACCTAATCAAAAGTCAAGGTTTTGAAAAGCTATACTATAAGATGTAACTGAGCAGCACATTAAAAATCTAAAATCGGTGATTTGTTACTATACTGTTTTATTATATCATTGGCACTCACACCATTTCACTTCTCACATATGTCCTTATATGAGTTTCACTATACATCACTTCATTCCACATATCCAATCTGCACTATTTACATCCGTGAATTGCACTATGTACCATTTCTTTCCACATGTTGTTGTTAGATATGTTCATCTGGCTAAATGTCTCACAATTGTTAAAGCTGTCGTCGGTTGTAATATCTCGGCAATGTTCCGAATATAACCTATAGTTGCAACTTTACGAAGTAATACCCGATATCGCGCACTATTGTTGTAAATATACAGTTCGTTGGTTGCAACGGTTAAAACATCAACGAGTGACATTACTACTTCACGAAACGTTTTTAGCAAATAGTAAATGTTTCAGTTTAATACGCGAGAATATTCCGCCACGTGTTACCGGTTTATTCGATTCGGCATCGACTGATAATTGACTACGGTTGGACAAGCTATGCGTTGATTGTTTCGCGGGAAGCTTCGTCTTCTTTGAAATATCCATGATCTAAGGTATGGATGCAGAATATCAAACGATATCTTTTATGTTTATTAATATCAATGAAGCAAATATAAATATGTTTGTGTTTCGAAAATGAGAAATTAGAGAATGCTTAATTTCCACTACAAAAACATTGTAAATTAATAAAATTAATAATAAAAATATATAATATAGTAATATATATTATGTATTGGTTACAAAATTTGATATTTATCTATTTTTCATTTATAATAATTTACTAAATTAATTTCTTTAATTAATTTATTTATTACTCACTTTTAATCATTTATTTAACCTAATTATTTATTTTTTATTTTTAATAATTTTCACATTCGCAGTTCATTTCTTGGATTTCTTTTCTTATCCCAAATTTTCTTCAATCCATTTATATTCATCATTTTTGAATGATGGTTAAACTATAATAAGCATCTTATTCCAAATGATTCTACTCAAATATATGAGAAACCCCAATTATTCTTGATATTGGTTTATCTTCCATCTTCTGTTCTCATGGTTATTCATATTGACATTTACATCCATTGAACTTGATACAGTATTATGTTATTCCATAGAATTCCAACAATTTTGCTATATAGTTTCTTAAATACATATGGATTTTTCCATCGCTCTGTTCCATTTGCGTTCCCAAAATTTTTTTAGCTTCCCCCAATAAGTTCAATATTCATTTTTTATTCTATTCCCTCCATGGTTTTTCTTTCATATTCTTGATTGCTTACTACTATAACCATGTCATCTAAGTTTACTCCACAGTATAGAAATCTATGATTTTCCACTTTGTAAAATAATCATGGATTCTCTTTTGACTGATGTAATCTTTTTTTGATTAACACACAAGTAAGGTATTTGTTCCAACACATTTCTGCTCATTTAATCCATAAACCCAACAATTTGTAATTCGTCATTCTTCTTGTATCTTTTTTCGTCTTCATTCTTCAGTACCTGAGCCCCATTCATTGTTTCATTGAATTTCACATCTCATTCATTCCTCACCTGGTCCTTTTTTGGTCAGTTTATTCTATATGTATTATTTAGTACATATCCTAAAAATATTTCTTTGTAAGTTTTTGGTTCAAATTTGTGTATTAAACCCCCTTCATTCAACTCATAGAAAATGCTAACAAATCTTTTCATATAGCCTATGTTTGACTTTCTCTCACATTAAACCTCATAAGGAGTTCTTTAGTGGACAGCTAACTTTGTTCTGTTTTTTATATGGACAATCGTATTCACCCCTTCGACCCAAAAATATATTGGTAAATCTGGATTCATCATCAGTATCCTTGTCATCTCTGTGATGGATTTGTTTTTCCTCTCAGCAACTCCATTATACTACAGTATCCTGACTGCAAACAAATCATAATTTATTTCCTTTTGATTTAACAAAACCTGGAGATCTTGCCCTACAAACTCACCTCCATTGTCTCTGCATATAAATACTTTCCAACTTCTGGACAGATTGATTTTCTTTTAATGTCACCAATCTTTTTATTTCTTCAGCTATCTGCCCTTTTTCCTGTACGAGCAAGAGAATAATCACTCTTAAATAATAATCACAGCTCTATTAGTCTTGCTGCTTTTATAGTTTTCTAGTTCCGATGAATATTTCTACAGATTTTTGCCTTAATGCAACATTTACGCTCTATATTCAATTTATCTTTTGGAAACTGTGTGGATATATAGACTGATATGTGAAGTCAAACTGGAAAAGGAGATGAGGAAGATTGTGATGTGTACCAAATTGAATGCCATAAATGTAGAAAATTAAATTTAAAAAGGAGAATGCAAGTCCTTCATGTCATTGATTTATTTTAAACTTTGCAGATTTGTAGATTCAGTCAGCCAGTTCAAGAAAATGTACCATTATAAGGGCAACTACTCAATAGTTTTTGAAATATTTATGCTTAAAGCTTTATTATTCTCAACTACACATTTCTCCTGAATATTTATCAATGTTTACAAAGTACCATTGTAGCCTAACGGCAACGTCAGAAAGTTCTTACCCCACAGGACTAGGGTTCAATTCCCGATCATGAGTTATGATAGCTTTTTCCATTTATTTTTTTATTGTGTATTAATTTTTCGCCCATGAAAACATAATTTTTAGTAAATTATAAATAAAATTGTTTAATGGAAAAATTATTATTTATTGTTGATTGCAACATTATTGTAGAAACAGGGAAAGCATAGGTTACATCAAGCTATGCAAATAATTTTGTTAACTCTTCCTGTTTAGATAAAAGTAAACTGCGTAGATGAAAGAAAAATTTTATATATAAAATATTAGATAAAACATCACTGTTTAGGTAAAAATAAATTGTATATATGAAAACATATTTGCATTAAATATTAGATAAAATATTACTGTTCAGATGCAATAAACTGTGCAAATGAAAAGTAAATAAACAAAATTTATTACTGAAACTAAATTTGAAGATTTCCATATTATATCTTTTTAATGGAAAGTAACGCTACACACGAAACGTATTATTCATTCCCTTTTTTCTGTTTCAGGACCCAATTTCAAGGAACCAATTGCCAATGTCACTGCACCAGTTGGAAGGGAAGCAATTTTGTCTTGCTTGGTTCAAGATTTAGGTGAATACAAAGTGAGTCATAAATACAATTAGTTCCTCTCATATATATTTCACATACCTGACCGATTGAATTGAAAAGATCTAAAGTATATGCAAATTACGATACTTCATTGATATTATACATTATTAATTAGAAAACAAGCAACAGTTGGTTAATTACCGCATCGAATGATTATTTCGTGAGATTTATTAATTTACGCAAGAATTTATTATTCTGCTACTGATTCTAATAATCTCAGCATTAATTTTATATATCCCTCTTTCCACGTATTGGAATTAAAATTATTTTCATCCAGCATGTATAATTCTAAGTTTCATTTATTAGATTACCTTTTTCTAAAACAATTGACACTAAATTCGATTCCAAAATAAACAGTAGTCTGTATCCAGATACGGTCTATTCAAAAAATATCAACATACTAATCGAACAAAATGCTAAAAAAATGATTAAGTATTTATTCTAACAAATTGTAAATTGAATGCAGGGTTATGGACAAAAATAATGAAAAAATAAATATTTTCTTTCTGCGAGATCATTAGCGATGAATGAGAGTCGTTAGTACGATGCTATATTTCTTTATTCGTGTTTCTTATATACAATTTTTGCCTCTCGAGGCAACGTTTATCTGTTACATAATTTTATATTTAACAACGATGACATACTAATAATTATTAATGTATGAATTGCCATAGAATTCTCCAGCTATTTTTCAAAGGAATTATAAATTATTTAATCACTTGTACAAAATATCTTTTTACACCTAATCTACGAAAATTGCGTCGTTTGAATTTCTCGAATTGAATAACACCCGCATTAAAATTTGTACAGAACCTTGTTTTCTTTTTTTTTTTCTTCTTATTCTCCATTGTATGTACATTATGTAGCAAGCTTCGGCGAATAATTCATGATGTCGTAGGGGAGAAATTACCGTGAAATTTCTGGGCGGTCATTTCGTCCCTGCGTATGTCCTTCACGATAACAGGTATCTAAATTGCCATAAGTTACCTTAAACGGCAGGACAGTTTCCGCTGATAATGCGGAAGAGTCGACAAAAAACTTTTATTAACGAACCCCCGGCTGAAAAAGTGTAAACAGGGTAATTACACTGCTTCGTTGACTTGATTAATTATACTTAAAAGAGCTGCGCGTGAAAGAAGTGACTTAACCATACTTCATGATCAGATTTACCCGGTTCTTCTCTTCTCTCCTGTTTTATCAAAAATTATTTCCACGAACGGAATAATAATATTTTCATACATATACATATTTCCAAGTGATATTTCAAATGCTATTTCAAATGCTATTTCAAACGAGATTTTCGTCATGGTAATAAATGTAAAATAGAATGACTCGTACATATACATATATAATTAAAATAATACTTCAAAATTATATAGTAATATGTGCTAAAATAATTCTTTCAAATAACATTTAAGAAAATATAATGAAAGTAATTTAAAGATAACGTAACTTGTACATCTGATTAAAATGATATTATAAAGAAAACAGTTTCAGATAACATTTAAATAATATAAAAATGAAATAGCATATACAGAGCGTCTGACAAAATTGTCACCTCGATTGTTCGAGTACTTTCGAGAGTCTGACAATGTGTGTGACAAATAAATATATATATGTATGTAATCATACAAAATTAAGATAATCTTATAAGGTAAACAAAATGATAAAATCGTAAAATAATATTTTCAAATAACGAAGCAATGCAAAGATAAAATAACCTATCATTTAGACCAATATTTCGTACAATTCGTTTCATAACTACCCAACCCAGTCAACAATCGATATTAACCTTCCGGAGATGAACGAAACTTCGCAAACCTCTTAAATTTTCTTGGACCATTCGGTGGAATTCTCTTTCTCCCCGTATCTGACTCGTACCTGCCGAATTGTTCCACGTAAAACTTGTAGCGGCCGGTAAAATAAGAAAGAGCCGCGCAACAATGCAGCTAAAGTTCCATAATTTAGCAAAGAGTAATCCAAGTTTGAAGCGCCTATGGAAATCAAGCGGGAACTGCAACTCCGTCAAAGTCGAGCTCCTCAGACGCGTTAATGGCGGTGGCAAGCTATCATCGGCAAAGATATTCAAAGATCCGTAATTTATAGATCGGCGTAAATTCGGATTGGCAGCCTCAGCTCGACTCAAATTAGCTAAGATCGACGCGAGCTGCGTTCTCGAAACGGCAAACACTCGAATCTTATTGGCTTCCATCGAGATTGCATTCTTGCCCTTGGTTCCTCATCCTCTAATTAGCAGCTACGGAGCAGCCATTATTGCCTAGGAACATTTTCGTTCCAGCCACTTCTCTCTCGCCCTCTTGCCCTTTCGCTGAAATTACACGCGTACAGACCGAATAAAATCCACCTCTGTCTCACCACCACTGCCAGGTATATCCATTTTCATTCGTCCGCGTAATTTTGCTAATTAATTAACTAACTGTTCCGCTCTACCGGGTAAGAGGCTGATCCTTGAAGCTCGAGAGATGACCAGAGATAGAGGGATCAAGGGCTGAGCAGGGAAGAAGGGTAGGCTGGCGGTGGAATGGAGAGACGAAGAAACAGAGAGAAATTCACTTAACTTTTTCGTGGTCGTTTAACGAGGTCAACGGGTTAAACAACCTTTCTAGATGTCTATGCTCTAGATTCCTTTTTGGTCGCGAGTACTTTTAGTAATACCTGTCCTCGCTCTCCGCTGGATAGGCAGGAGCCCTGGTTACGTCTGAAAATATCAGTTGCCGGTTTTAAGTAATGGACTTCAATTAAAGCGGGATGAAATATCAAGGAAATCGCCGAGATCCATTACCCCAGGTCTCCTCGATTTCTTGCCGTTCCTTCGGGCGATTCGTTCCGTCTCCTGACAGCATGGCAGCCTGCACTGCCATGCTCTTCGGCGGCCGAAGATACAGAAACAATTACGCTTCGCGAAGAATCCGGATGGTTCCTGTTTAAAAGCGACATCGGCTTTCGACATAAAACGTTAATTGCCTTTATTCTAAAGGGACAAGAAAAAGTTTCTCAGCGATGAATCGCGTTCGGCGAAAGCAGAGTCCGGATGAAAAATTACGAATGCTCGGCTTCCTTTGGTAACGCTATAAAGCGTCAGACGCGCCGGCCATGCTGTAAAAGAGGTTCAGTTAATTTAAGGAAAACTTCGTTCTGAGGAACGTTTGACCCGTTGAATACTTGTTTTTCCTTGTTTTCCATCCCTCCGTTTTAGTTTCCCCTTTTCTTCTTTGTCCCGTGATTGGCCACGACCGTGTTTCAATTCGAATATCGCGATTGAGGATTTGGACGTGAAGTGTATCGAATTGATCCTATAATGATGTCGATATTTCTGGTATATACCGGTGTAATCGTTTCGCGTGAAACGTGGTAGGTCATCGAATAATAAATTGAATTGTATTCAATTATAATTAAAACATCACGTTTCGACGCGAATGATACGAAGCATCGAATTCGATTATTTGGATGCTTCTTTGAAGAAATTAATGCTTCTAGGGATAATAAATTTTTCTACTCGTGACAATTAGAGCTTCGGCTACCTTTCATCCAAGTATATCACGAATTGTGCTAGCATAAATCCAATAATCCGCATCCATAATCATGTAACTTGATATTAATCATCTGAAACAAAGGAGCATAAAAAATATGAAGAATATTAGGCTGGCCAACGAATAGCATCGAATTCTAGGAGTATGTGATACTTTCTATCCATTCTGTATGAGGTAGTTTCCTCAGCTTACAAAATATACTAACGTCAATTAAAAGTTAATTAGAATTATACAATTATGCTTAAAATGGTGAAAAGTTATGGATCAAAATTCAGTAAAAATTTATAATCGAGATACCAATGCTGTTTCTTGGCCAAGCTAATAAGACTGGATACTAATCTATAGTTTTATTATATAAAAATTCTTTGATGTCAACATTTTGTCTCCCAATTAATTCGAACAATAGAGATTCTACTACGAAATCGCTGCCATTCGCAACGTTATGGTCGCACCATTAACATGTTCGTTAGGTACTATAGGTAAATTGACGAAACGATGCCGGAGAAGCGTCGTTATCTCTAGATCGTGATACTGGCAGATCTCCGGCATAGTTGCAGCCGTTATCCGTCATCTTAATGCATAACCGGAAGTCTGAGGGACGCACTAGCAGCTTATAAACGGCACGATTATTCCAACCCGACTCATGCAACCCTTTCCAATGTCTCATCCCTCTCCACCTCTCATCCACGATAACCTATTCCCCTCGACCAAAAGAATGTAATGCCGGTTGCAGGTTAGACTGCTAGCCTTTGTAAATATATCCATTTGAATTTCATGCCACGCGACTCGATGAATACTTTTCGATATCTTTCCATCGGCTGATCTTCTCACGCCATTCAGCGCCTCGCTTCCTCGCGATGATCAATGAAATCGACGTCTGAATATTATGCGTGACGTGTTCCATGGTATGAAAGTTGAATTAACTGTGCTACGTGTTCTTTACAATGTATTTTTCCTTCTTTCTTTTCCTTGTCGAAATTTTTTCTGCAAATCTGTAGGGAATTTGTGAAGGTTAATTATCGAGTTACTTTTTGGTCAAGTGGAATTACGTAGTCCGGTGAATGAAAATTAAAATTAAAATATAACTTAATTATCGAGTTATCCTTCGGTTAATATTGAGAATTAATAAATTTAGTAGATAGGTGTAATATAAAAGTACGAAGGACATTTTGATTATCTTTGAAGGATGTCAAGGGAAATTTCTGGTGCAGCTAAAGTGGAATCGTTTATTAAGAATTACCCGATCTAAATTGAACTGTCAGTCTTGATTTATATCAGAACTTGTTAGGAACTCGAAAGACTGTATCAAGATCCGCAAATTAAAAGACCATCCCTTGCGAATCGAAAAGGTGTCGCGCGTCTCCACGGTAACTAGAACCACACGTGCGACAGTAACACGGAAATAAAAATATCGAAACTGCAGTGAAAACTTATTCCTCGTC